TTATTATTATTATTATTATTATTATTATTATTATTATTATTATTATTATTATTATTTTCCAGGTTTATAATTTATATTGTGATCAGGAATCATTTTTACCATTAAAAGGAGTAAGGTCACTGCCAGCAGCTGTGATTGCAGAGGACAAATAACTCTGTTCTCTATCTGACACCATTTCAGGCAGAGTGGGACTAACTGTTACAATCTACTTTACATTACTTCATCATTAATTCCATAATTAAGAACTCATGTTATGGAAGGTGGACAATCTAAGAAATGGTGGCAGAATGAGAATTGGGTTAAGGAAATATTAACATATAATATCTGAAATGTGTGAAAAATTGCTTTTTATGTAAATATGTGAAACATATGACAATTATTTATAATGAAGGGAGAAAATGGAGACAAGATCAGCCTGAGCTGAGTGACCCAGTGGCAGTAAATGTGATATTCTGGTCTCAAAACTATTTGATCACTGCCAGCATAAAGCACATCAGCAAATCCTTGGGGTCTGAAATCCGTAGGAAAGCAGGAAATATTAGAAGTCCAAGCAGAGAAATTGCATCTAAATGTCTCCTAGAGCAGTTCTTCATATTACCTGGCTCCACAAGTAAGTGTTGTAGAGAGCTGTCAGCATATCTGGCCTCAGAATTTCATTACATCCATGTTGCAGGAGCATCTTGGCAAAGGATTTATAGCTTTTCTGTTCATGCAAATGGCAACGAAGGACAAGAGAGACCCATGAACACCAGGAACAACAACACAGCTCTAGATCCCAGACACTTGGAGAGTGGAGAGATGTAGGCAAGGTACTGTATGTATTCATTGACATGTGCATACAACTCACATCTGCAGAGTTGGGAATGTCAGGGGCAGATATTGCCAACATAATTATTAAATGGATAAATATTCATATAAATGCATTTGTATTAAATATAGAAAGACATTTCCTCTCCTATTTGCATAGGGAAGGAAATGTCTTAATATTTTTATAGTGAAGGAGAGGAAATCATGAATTTTTGGGGGGAGATGAGGGGAAATTGTAGCTGAAGGTGAGAGCACTCAAAAGGCAAAGATGGCACTGCTGCTTATCTAGGAAGGAGAAGATTATCTTGGCAAAGGCCTTTAAAAGAGAGGTATTAAAAAAGAAATGCTTGCTAAATAAAGGCATTTTTTAAACCTCTCCAGTGGCTTGAAGAGGGCTCAGATTCTGCAGTGAGTTGATGCACAATAATGAAAGTACATAAAGCACAGAGCAGCTCACACAAAAAGTCCCAGTTCTTTTTGGGTGGCAGAACGAAGATCGTCGATGAGCCCAGGACAGTATCACAGCTGATACTGCTGGGGTGAAGGTGGCACACAGTTCTGGGAGTGACCCAGTGCTCCCACAGTACCTGACTGCTCAGCCTGGAGACCCACTTGGCCAGGAGATTCCTGGGATCATCCACAATAACGCTGTACCTATCTTTGAGCTTCTCATAGGCAGCCCTATATAATTTCTGCTCAGGAGAGCATCACACAGCGTGACAAGAGAGTGAAAACACAGAGAGATCATTGTTCTAACCATTGCCACCTCTGCACAGGGGTCATTACAGCCTGGGCTGGGAGGTCATGGCCAAAAAGAGAAAAATAATTGAAAACAAAAAGAAGAGAGAGAGTGTTTCCAAAGGTACATGCATTTCTAGGTTGTCACTGGAAGGCCTAAACCACAATTTAAGCATGTCTACATATCCCTGCCCCTCCAATAAACTCATTTTATCACTGACTTTCTTCATGAAAAATAACAGCAGAACTCTATTACAGATTCTTGAGCTGAGGATAAAAAGATGACAATGAGGTGTGGGGGTAAAAGACAATATTTTTTTAACATTTTGTAAGCAAAATGTATAATCCCTTATTAAAAATGTATCACTTATATAACAGAAGACATTCAGGTAAGTTCATTCCAATGTATGGAGCCCCACTGCTAAAATTTTACCCATTTAGGCTTCTGATATATAAATTTTTCCTTATTTATTCTACTGAACAATAAGAACTGAATACTAACAATCATCCATAAGAAATTCTGGCTCATTGTTTATCAAATTCAGTAAAAAATTATAGCAACAGAACTGGAATTGTATTTGTTGTGAACAGTTTTTCTTACCCAAAAAGGTAAAACTATAATACATGGACAGACAGGTAAACAATTCATTGTAATAGCTGGTAAAAAATAATGAAATACCAAAATGGGAATCTAAATATCTGCTTCTTCAATGAAAAGCATCAGAGCTGTGTGTGATATTCCAACTCTGAGCTGATGGGAATCACCCAGAACATGGTGTTTCTCCACAGGCTTTGTCCTGTGAGTGTAGAGAACTAATCCTACAAATTCCAGAGGTGATTTTAACCTTAAACCTCGGGGAGTTCATTAACCCCCTGTACTAGAAGGTGTGTATATTGTTTGTTTAGCACTAGAGGTGAAAAATAAAATAAAAGTGAGTAGCAGAGTGGAAAAATTCAAGGCAAAATATCTGGAATGAAACGAGCTTTGGTAACTCCAGGCGTAAGACTGTCTTCCCAACACTGGTTTTTCCAACACTTTAGGAAAGCAATTGGATTTCCCTTTATACCTTTCTCAGATGGAAATCACCAGTGTTACTCCACAAGCAGCATTATTTAAGTTGTCATTTATTTCCCAGTCAGCAAAGGAAAAGTTCCTTTGCAATGAGACAAATTAATGGGATAGGGCTGGGAATTTCACTTTCTAGGTTCTGTAAAAAAATAATACTCAGACAATAAGAACAACCTTGTCTTCCATGATTTCAGCCTGATCTTAAGGCATCTTTAAGCCTGAATATAAGGCAGATCCACCTTCAGCTCTGTATTTACATACAGACTTCACTACTTGAGTAGGAGACTCCAGAGGAGCCTTCAGCACTCACCCCATCCATCAGCTGAGTTGCATATCTAAAATGCTCATTAATTGGAGAGTCAGCCACGTACTTAAACTGGGATTTGGTCTTCTCAAACGACTCCTTGTACTTGCACTGGAGAAAAGCAGAACCAAACACACAACAAAAATCCCCATTTTAATCTAAAGAATGGCCAGGCAATGAAAACAGGATTTTAGAGACAAATTGTGGTAGAATTATTGCACACGTGTGTTCAAGTTTTCTACAAACAAATGGTTGTAAATGTACAGCAAATGTCAAAAAGACATTCAGCAACTTTTAATGTTTTACTCACCCCACTGTAGAGCACTTTATTCTGTTCTGCCAGGACAAAAGCTGGAGTATCCCACACATAACACCCGGTGCCCTTGAGCCATTCCAAGTCTTCCTTGTATTTAACCTTTAGAAAAGAAGTAAAAGGATGCAGTTTTAAGGAGATTATCAGTGCTGAAAGGACACCTCAAGGTGTGGCAAACAATTCCATCCATTATTATTCCATTATGAAATAAATCAATTACTCATGCTTTTTGGATGGACTCAGATTACTCACATACCTAATCTATCATTAATTATTGGAGCCCCTGTGTGAATTAAAAATATTTATTCTTGGACAATTAAAGAGTCATTGTATCATTACAGATATGAACAATTACAGGGTTAACAGGGTGACAGAGTTAACAGAAAAATGCAACTGAAATGAATTAGGATTGCTCTGTTAATTTGAAATTGAGATGAGCTGCAATTGTAGCCATTGGAATCACTCTGTCATTTCACAGATCTACCAGGAGAAAGTGTAAATCACTGAAAAAATTTCACCTGCCTTCCCTTTCTTTAGAAAGAAGGCTTTGGTTTCATTTTGGAAACCTATTTATAACTTTTCCAGGAACTCTCTGAACTCACATCACTGATGGCATCCGTGACCAGGCGATGATGGAAATGCTCCGGACGGTCTGGGATTGATCTCCAGATTCCCAGCTGGCTCATATAATTCTCCTTATATTTGATCTACAAAGAACATTGAAGAATTAAGTAAAACAATCTAAAGAACACTTCAGACCACACGGTTCCATATATTTTTCTGAAACACTGGAACCAAGAATGGAAACGAGATTCACCTTTGTAACGTCAAACGTGATGAAATCTAATATTTCAGAGAAGGAAATAATCTATTTTTTTCTAATTATTTCACACACTTCAATGGAACAACAGCATATTGTAGGTTATTAAGTGACAGACACTGGTTGGGAACAGAACTGCTGTACATACAGTGCTGATGTCATCGGTGACCTTGCGATGGTAGACGATGTCCAGGGCGTCCTTCACCGTGTGGTACTTGCCCTTGGTGTTCTCAAAGGTCTCTTTGTAGCGCAGCTGGGCACAAAAATGACACACAAAACAACACAGTCATCTGCCAGGAACTGTTTTAGTTAAAGCTCTTAACTCTCAGGAGTGACATCCTGGGATGTGTTGCTGTCCAACACCCTCGTGTAAGCCCTGAGGGATTTGAAGAAGCTCCAGTTCCCTACGATTAATTGGAATTTGACTGAAACTTATGGTGGAAATTTGAGAGACTTTCATCCAGTTCACTTTCAGACTGGAAAAAAAGGTCCCTGTTTCACAGGACACAAGTGCCACTTTTGGCATTAAGAACTGCTTATCCTTTCTTCCATGTCCTGATCTAGAACAAAGCAGGAAGATCATCCCAGTCTGTGCTGAAAGGTTTTCTCAGAGGAGAAACTGAAACGTGCAGAAGAGCTGGGATGCTCCTTTAAATTATTTTAAAATCACTTTTAAGAAAGCACTGAGACTAATTAATCCCTAGAAAAAAAACCCAGCCCAGCACATGTCCTTTCATATCCTGCTGGTTCTGAAATACATAGGAAAGATCTCCCAAATGATGCTCTGCCCATTGCCTTAAATCCCAAATAACTGTTCCATGCTTGAAGGAAAAAATATCATTTCCACCTTAATAACCTTCTGTGCAGCAGCTCAGATAATTTTTGCCTGTAATCCACTCTTGAATTAAAAAATAAACACATTCTCAGTGACAGGGCAGTTTATTTCTAACACAAAAAGAGATGAAAAAAGCTGATAAAAGGTATTCCATCCTGGTTCCAGCATCAATCATTTCACTCCAGTCTGCACTATTTGGAGAATTGATGTGTAAGCAGATTACTCTAAATCTATTTTTCCTTTGTTCAGTGCAGTGGGAAATGAAAATGAATTATAATAATTGAAAAAAAAATTACAGTGACATCAAGTCAAAACTTAATAATCTCCATAATATCAAATGGAAATGAACATGCAAATGGAGTGATCTCATTCATGATCTACACTGGGGTAGTCTATGCTTTGAATTCTTGCTCCCTATTGATTATTTTCTGGCTTTTGTGGAAAGAATCCAAGGAAAAGCAGCAGTGGAGGTGCTCCTGGAGTACTCACATCACTGGCATTCAGATAGGCCCTCTTGGCTCTGATCAGGACTGGGGTGTCAGGGACAGGGGTGTATTTGTGCTTCATCTTCTCATACTGGGTTTTATACTTTTTCTAAGAGACACAGCAGAAGGGAAGAGTTACAATTTCAATCTTTGCCAATCTGCAAACAAGCACTTAGAAACAGGCATCTTATAAAACACAGAAACATATTTTTAAAGTGGTTTATTTTATTAGAGCTTACAAAGGAAATGTGGAACTTAAGCATAAGAGACAAAAAAACTAAATGTAGGGAAAATGGATTTGAGCCTTGAAATTACTACTAAAATTAGAAATAAAACTTTTAAAGAGTTCAGCAGAGTGGTACCAAAAAAAAAAAAAAGCAGTATCTTACCTCACTGATCATGTCCTTGACTTGCCTGGCATGTGTAAGGGCTTGAGTCTGATTATCAGCATGATGGTGGGGCCTCTCTTTCGTGGCAAGTTCCACATACAAGTACTGCAGCAAGGAGAAAACAATTTAAAAAAATATCCATTGCAAGTGAATTCTACTTTTTAACTCTGAAAACAATGTCTGTAAATTCAAAACATAGACATAACCACACAATTTTCTACACTGATTTGAAATGGCCTGGAAAGATTTTGCTAAGAGGGACTCCCTGATTGTTTTTTCATGAATATAAGTTTTTCACCTGGCTCTGTATTTTTTGTCCTTCCTTGGCTCTTTTTAAGTCAGGTGTGTCCAGGATGGAAGTGTATTTTGTCTTCAGCTCGTTGCCTGCAGCTCTGTAAACCAGCTGGAAAAAAAGACAGGCCCATGAATTATTTCTTCTGTTACACATGTTCATTTAACAGCTTTGCAATTAAAACATTTCATCTATTTCAGAAAAAAAAACCCAACAGGGAGAGGTTAATTATAGCTATGAACTTGTACAAAAATAACATAGAACTTACTTCACTTAAATGGGTTTTTAGCTCCTGAACTGCTCTGTATCCAGGAGTATCCAACACCACGTTGAATTTGGCCCACATCTTCTTTGCAGTACCAGTGTATATGTAATTAGACTGGAAAGGAAAAGCAGTTTTATTTAGGCAGCTTTTACTATTCCTGGTAGGAAAAGAAATTTTACAGTGTCAAGGAAATGTTTAGTGTAAGCTGGCAGTGCTTTGAAACAACTGATTGGCTGCATGGCAAGAAATTCTGTCACAGGTCTTTGCTCATTTTCATGGGTAATAAGTATTTACCTTCCTGAATGCACAGAAATAAATCAAATGTTGTTATAGGTGGTTCCAGAAGAAAAAAAACTCTTACCCAAAGCTTTTTGAGCTCACGAGCACGGACCATGTCAGGGGTGTCATACAGGAAACAACCCAGGCCCTTCAACCACCTCAGGTCCTCTTTGTATTTATTCTGTGAGAGAAAGAAAAATCAACAGTCAACCAGCCCCTAAACACAGTGATAAAACACTCATTTAATACAGAATAGAATGGAAATGAGAGAAGGAAAATCCCACTTTAAGCATAAAACACGTTTTATTAGTGTTTTTCCAACACCTGAGCAGGAGTCACTCACGTCACTTGTGATGTCCCCAACGTAGCGACAGTGCAGCACGTGGGGGGTGTAGGGCAGGGAGATCAGGTGGCCCTGCATCTTGAAGAAATCTGACTTGTAGATCAGCTGAAAGACAAAGAGAAAAGCAGCATTTCACATGTTTGGTCACTGGATAATCTAAAGTCTCTCTGCTTGTGCTGTTGGGAAGGCACCTACATCACTGACGGCTTCCTGGGTCGCTCGGACTTGCCGGATTTCGGGGGTGTCTGGAGTGGTGTGGATCTTGTCCTTGGTCTTGTGGTACGTTGCCCTGTAAAGCCTCTGTGGCAGAAGAGACAACATCCTACATTTTAACATGTTTTGAAAGATTTTAACACAGTTTCAAGCGTTTTAGCACATTTTATAACACTGGAACAGCAAAGCAGTTTGGCACAGTGGAAGCACTCCTGACACAAACACACTGTTTTCTAACCAGGTAAAGATTTTCCACAACTGTTTTCAACAGCAGCACCTTTAATCTTTATAAAGTAAATAGTTCATGGAGAATCTCAGGTTCTAATCCTAAAAACATGTAAATATGTATATTTAATTTTCATCCTATTAAAGCCAATGATCAAAGGAGTGAGTAAAGACATACGAAAACTAAAACTATAGAGACCCAAAGTCATACAGATACTAATAATTTCTATTCAACTTTAACCACACAGCAGCAGATTGGCCAATAAAATTAGGCTGCAATTTTATATTATGATAACAGTTTTACCCTGTATTAATGATTCCTTGCCATTCCTGATGGATATTTATCTAAACTAGTCTTACAAGCCTCAAAGAACAACTTCCCAGCCAATGTACTGCCCCCATTCGGATTTTGGGCCCTACAAATACAACTGAAAGCAAATACATATATTTACTGTACCTCATTAATGACTTGATTCACTTTCCTTGCAGTTTCAAAGCCAACATCTTTAGGCCCCAGAGTATAACCTTTGGCTTTCATGTGTTCATAGGCTTCTTTATATTTCAGCTATAAAGTGGAAAAAACATAGACAATCTAAATTTGATTGTGGTTCTACTTACACTGCACTTCTGAGAGCAGTTTGTGCTGCATAAAGAGCCAGATTTTTAGGGAGAAATAAGTGAGATGTAGCTATATCTGAGTTAAATACCTTTATCATATGGCCCAAGATTAATAATATATTACATTTATATATATATTACATTTACTATATTACATTTCTCTTGCATCTAATAAGGTATTTCATGTTCCTGAGACAATTTATATTTTGATAATAATTGCCCAAGTTGAGAGTCTTTTATCTGAGACTGTTGATCATTCCCATGGTGCAGAAGGATTTAATCCAGGACTTACATCACTGCCAATGTGCTGGACATGTTTTGCATGCTGGAAGTTGGGAGTATCCGTGGGAAGGCTGTAGCCAGTGGGCAGAGCATTCACACCAGCCCAGCGATACAAATTCTGCAAGAGAAGGGAGAGAGAGTTTGTGACAAAGTGGGTAACATTTGAGGGTAAAATCTCAACCTCAGAGACCTGTGGATCACAACTGGCAAAAGATTTCCCTCATATTTGCATTAAATGCATCCTTGTTAAGTAAGTAAGGATATTTTCCTACTTGCATTGTAAAGCAATGACACGTGGCTTCATCTGAAAAGCTAAAACCAGACATTAACATAGAAAAAATTTGCTTTTTAGTATGAAAAAGCCTGTGGACCCCAAAGTTTCCTACTCACCTCACTCTGTATCTTGTTTGCATTATATGCCCGCTCCAAATCGATGGTTTTATCAGTAGAAATCATTTTGCCTTTAACATTCTTCACGTAATCACCACGATACACAGCCTGGGAAAGAGAAAAAATCCTAGTTGTGGTGTTCCCTCACTGTTTGGATGAAGAAATAAGACCTGGATGGAAGCTTTTTGGCTTCAGGCCATTAAGGATTTTAGTGATTGTGTCTACAGTGAGCTGTAGATTGATTAAAATTAAATTAACCAGCAACGATTGATTAAAATTAAATTATTAAAATTACATATTAAAAGTCACATTTCTAGTACTTGTGAGGTAGTGGCATATGGAATATTGGGGTGGGAGGTGACACAAACACTTACTTCACTTAAATTCAAGGCACTGAGGACATTCTGGACATAGACAGGGGTGTCTGTGACCACAGTGAAGTCCTTCTTCATCTTTTCTGCCTTAGATTTGTACTTAATCTGCAGAGAGAAATGCAAGAGCTCTAATTAGTAAATGTAACCATTAGTAATTGAATTTATTTTATTATTATGTTCTTTATTTATTACTGAACTATTCTATTAGTGAACCAGCACTGAAACAGAAAGTATATTGAAATAGAAAGTATATTGAAATTATGGCTGGTTATTTAATGAATACTTCAGTAGGGAAGGATATATAACATTTTCCAGATTACATCTGAAGTAGAATAAAGCTACCATGGAGTGAAAAAAAAACCTTCTAAGAAGCAAAATCAGTGTATTGACTCACATCACTGCGGAGATCATAGGCCTGCTTGGCATGGAGGATTTCTGGGGTGTCCCAAACAAAGCAGCCAATGCCTTTCAGCCAGTTCAAATCATCCTTGTAGATCACCTAAAGTGTCAGAGCAGAGAAAATCTGTAAGAATTCCACTGGGATCTAGTCCCTTATTGCTAGTCTGAAACACAACTGCCAGCTAAGGTTTCCAGTACTTTGACTTTTTTGTTTAAAAAAACCAAAATGATTCATTTTGGAATTTAAATAATGTTTCTTCGTCACTTTAATTTGGCCAATAGATTAAAAAGCCAAATATTTTTTAAAAAAACTACCTGCATATCCCTACTGGGCACTGATTTACTGACAGATCCCAGGCCTGCTCCTGGGCTGACCAGTGCATAGAAGCTTCACACAAACGGGAATTTCTCAGACTTCCAAAGTTTCCACACCATATTCAACCAAATAAAGGACAATTTACAGACAGGGATGGCTGAGCTGGTAAAACTGTAATGCCATGACTCAATGCCTACAGTGATAATGCTGAAATTATTGGAATTATTGCCCAGAGAGGTTGTGGACTCCCCATCCCTGGAAGTGTCCTTGGCCAGGTTGGAGTAACAGGGTCTAGTGGAAGGTCCTGCCCATGGCAGGGGGTGGGAATGGATGGACTTTGAGGTCCCTTCCAACCCAAACCATTCTGGGATTCTATGGTTCAGTGCAACTAAGCCCCATCTCAACTACACATTCATTGCCAAGTGTTCCAAAACCAGCACAACGGGGTCAAGTGGCCGCTTCAGAGCGCTCCAAGTGCTGAATCATTTCTTCCAGCAGAGCAGAAACCCAAGAATCTTTTGGAAGGTGAGCCAGGAAGATGAGATTTGTGAACTCACGTCGCTGACTTGGTCGGTGACCATGCGGACGTGGGTGTTGACCTGCAGGTCTGGGAGGCACATCCAGTCGTGGAGGTGGGTGCGGTACTCGACCTCGCTGATCTTCTTCTGAGCATCCTTGGCAGCAATGATGTCCATCATGTCTGGGACGATGTGCACCTTGGCTTTAGTCTTCTCATAGGCCTCTTTGTACAGTCTCTGAGGGGTTACAGCAGAATTATTAATGATTCTGAGCATAAACTGTTGGTAAAATCAAAGAAAATCATTGCTATCACTTTGGTTGTGGTAAAATCTACACCCTGCCTGCACTAAAAATAATTTGCAGAACTTATCAAGGGTGATAAAATAAGATTTGGGCAATTTTCATTCTGCTTGTGAGTTAAAAGGAGGCTGAATGTGTAGTTTCACCTTCACACTAAAGGTTTGGCTGTGCAAGCAAAGTAACATTTGAGTCAAGAGCTTAAATTCGTAGGTGTATTCCAGAATTTAGCAATTCCACTGCCAAACACGTGTGGAAATGGGACACCTGGATCAGTGTGGGTTCTTTGAGTAGCCTCTTCTGAGGTGAGCATGGATTTATCAGGAGAACACACCCCCAAAGCCAACACTTACATCGATGTTGAGCTTCCCAACTCTGAGGCACCGTTCCGTGTTGGGATCATCCTCCACCCCCTTGGGAATTGTGTACAGTGCTTTGAACTTGTCATATTCCTCACGGTATTTGACCTGAGCAGGAGCAAAGAAATGCAACAAACAACTGTAATTTTGGAACAAAAGTCATCAGTAACAAGATATTTAGTTGAGTCCAACAAGCAGAGAAAGGTTCTAAAGCACGATCTGGGTTTTCTGTTTTACCTTAAATGGCAGAGGAAGCACATCATAACCATCATGTTGTAAAAATAACAGCTGACTAAAAGATTTTAAAAGTAAATTGATGTAGAATAAGGCATTTATTTATTATTGTTCCAGCTCTTTCATTTAAAGAGATCCGTGGAGTGATCTCATAATCCTCAGTTCAGTAAAGCATAAGATGTTCTCCTAGACTTAGTAAAGTATTATTTGAAGTTTTTTGGGTGTTTTTCTGAGCTGGATGCTCATGAAATTCAGACTAAAAAACCCCTGACCAGACATTTCCAAGAGATAGTTTTGATTACTTTAAAATGTGACTTTTTTATTTCAGGACAAAAAGCCACAAAGGACAATTATCCAAATGATTATCACAGAAAACTATTTATCTACAGATACATATTAGATCCCAATTGAAAAGAAAAAATAAATGAAATATTAAAAAAAGTTTTTTATACCTACAGTATATGCAGGGCATGAAGGATTTCATTGTTATAACTGATGACCTGATAAAAAATAAAGCACTTAATTCACTTACAATGCTGGCATTGTGCTTCAGCTCCTTGGCACGTGCCAGGGCTACGGAATCCGAGGGTATGGCATATCCAGTGGCCTTCACTTTATCCCAGGCTTTCCTGTAGAGATTCTGTGGGCAAATAGAAAGTCTGTGTGAGTGGCAAATTTCTTTTCCTAAGTAATAACCAACAACCAAGAGAAATCAGCAGAAAACTTCAGTAGGAATCAAAAGCCCTTTTGGTTTTATTCAGACCCTGTAACTCTCCCTTAATATCAAGTTTAATCTTGACAGGGCACATAAAGGGTGATCAAATGCTTTCTAACTATTCATGTTTGTTCTCCTATGAGGTTTTGATTTTGTCCAGGTGTAATTTTATTCAGGGAATCCATTTACTAATGCACATATTTTGACAAGACTAGAATTATAGTTAGAAAATAAACCCTCTGCCTGAAAGAAAACATCTTCTCCACAGTCAAGTGGTGCAGAGGGTTATCACTGGCTTTGAGAAGCCCCTTGTTTGGATATTTACCTTCAGACAGAGGGAACCAACAAACAAACAAAATAAAAGTAGCACCTTAAGAGGAAAAAGGACATTTAGAAACACTTACATTGCTATAAAGATGTTTCAAATTCTGAACTCTTTCAGACTCCACTGTTTCAGCCACAGGTGTGTACTTGTCCTTAGTTTTATGGAATTCTTCCTTGTATTTCACCTGGAAGTGAAAGCCAGATGTAGTTAATTATTTCAGTTCTTGGAAGGAAGATGGGGAGTGGGAGAAGGGGGGGTTCTCACGTCGCTGGCGTTGAAAGCACTCTGCAGAGCAGTCACATAGACAGGGGTGTCTGTGACCACGCTGAAGTTCTGGAAGTTCTCCTTTCCTGCAGATGTGTATTTTATCTAAGGAAAAAAACAAAACAAAAAGAACTCATTAATGCTGAAAACAACCTGAGAATTCCCTACCAGCTTCCTTCAAAAGCAGTTCTGAATTTCAGGATTACAGCTCAGTTAAGACCAATTCTAAAAGTGACAGGTCATAAAATAGAAATACTTAATATAAAGCCAGTCTGAACTAAGGAACAGTGAAAATTATACATTGCTGGTGGGTTAAGAGCACATCCAGCAAGGCAGGAGACACTATTTTCACAACAGAAATATCTTCCTGAGGTATCTTGCCCACACAGAAATAAAAAAGTTGTATCTTCTCACTGATAAAACCCACAACCTTGCTGTCCCTCCATTCTGCTCCTTCAACATCAGAAGTGATGTCTCTACAGACAAAACTCAAAAGCTGTATTATCACAGATTTAACAAAATATTTCTGATGTAATAGGAAATATTTCTTTCTGCTCTGGACTAGAACAGGTGTCAATCTCAGTGAATCATAAGAAAACAAGTCTTATAAATACTACTACTACTACTACTACTACTACTTATTATTATTATTATTATTATTATTATTATTATATTTAACTTATTCAAAGCAAACAAACTTACTTGACTCTGGAGGTCATAGGACTTCTTAGCCTGTATGATTTGTGGAGTATCCCAGACATAACATCCAATTCCCTTCAGCCAGTTCAAGTCATCTTTATACACTGCCTACATGGATGTAAAAAGAACACTAAGTTAGGAAGAAATCTGCCTTCTGCTTGAAGAAAACAAAGGAGAAAACTAATATTATTCCTGAGAATATTGTTCAGGCTGAGGGAGCACTGGAACAGGCTGCCCAGAGAGGATGTGGAGACTCCTTCTCTGGAGACATTTGAATCCCAGCTGGTCATGATCTTGTGCAACCTGCTCTGGGTGAACCTGGGTTGGATTGGATGATCTCCAGAGGTCCCTTCCAACCTCAACCAGTCTGGGATTCTCTGATAAAAAGACAGTATTTGTTTCTTCTCTATTCAGTGTCTTTGACTCGTGTAAATCCAAAGCAAAGGCCACCACTGACTCTGAAGCAGGATCCCTGAGGAATTCCAATCCATCTGGAAGTTTAAATGTGAGCACAGAGACCATCTCATGCTCTGCTGAAGGATTTTTACCCACAGGATTTACAAGGGGAATTAAATCAAAGAATTCTGCATAGTAATAGCCAGGCAATTAACACACCATCAGATTTCCTTAGGAAAGTGGATTGGCCCAAGCTGGGACACTGCTGACCATGGAATATGAGAGCATGTTATGGCTCAGAGACCATTCCCTCAGCTCACACAATGCCAAATGAACAAGGAGAAGTCTTTTCCAGACCCACTGGATCCAGAAGGACTGTGGATGCTGTCCTGGCCCCTGTGCTAATTACAGCATTCCCAATTATAATACACAAGGATCACTGCAGTGGTTGCTACTGTGCTACTAAGAATCTAAAGCTACAGTTATTAATTTAATATTTAAATACTATGGAAGATATTTGAAAGTATTTCATATTTAAACACCTTGGAAAAAATTACATTTAAAGTACCCCTGTAATGTCAAATAAGTTCAAGAAGTGTTTGGACAACGCTGTCAGGGACAGGGTGGGATTTTTGGAGTGTCCTGTGCAAGGCCAGGAGTTGGACTGGATGATCCTTGTGGGTCCCTTCCAGCTCAGGTTATTCTATGATTTTACAGAAATGATAAACATACATCACTCAGAATCTCCTGGGCTTTTCTGGCGTGAATCATATCATTTTCTTCAGGGGAACAATTCCACTGATGGAAGTAACTTCGGTATTCCAGGTCACTGAGGATTTGCTGGCACTTCTTGGCCAGCACGTGGTTCATCATGTCACTTGGAATATGGACATTTTTCTTGGTGTCCTCATAATTCTTTCTGTAGGCCAACTAAAAAGGAAGGATTGGAGAAAGGGGGAGAGGAAATAAGAATTATTTTCTCCATAACATTGACTAATAGGCCACAGCATAATCTGAGACATGATTTCTGGATTTAGTAGCTAAACTCCCATGGGATTCAACAGCATGAAATTTTAACTTTGATGTTAATCACCATTTGTTCTGATGAGGTTCTGGAAGGACAAGAATGACCTTCTTCACTTGCACTTTTAACAGCTGGTGAGAAAATGAATAAGACTTCAAGATTTAAAAAGTCCTATGCTACAAACATGGTTTTCATCTAATTAAAGACAGAATATTTGAGATTACAGTGATTTTATGCCCTGCACAACTTGTTGTATGTGCAGTGGTGACAACAGCAAAACACCACATGTGGACTTACTTTTCCAGTTCTTAAATTCCTATTTCAACCCAAAATCTACACTTTTATTTGTAAAGCAAAAGAATCCCAATTTCTTACTCCTCATATTCTTAAACTGAAACAGAAATCTTTTTTTCCCTATTCTATGTCTTTCTTCCTATTCCATGTCTTTCTTTTCTTCCTATTCTGTCTTTATTTTTTTCACATTCCATGTCTTTTTTTCTTCCTATTCTATGTCTTTATTTTTTTCTCATTCCATGTCTTTCTATGTCTTTCATTTCCTATTCTATTCTGCCTTTCCTATTCTATTATTGTCTAATAACTAAACAAATCCCTCCTTAATCTCCTAAATCATTTCAACTTCAATTATTTAACCCACATATAAAATAACCAGTCAGGAAACACAGACTTGTTGGAATCACTTTGACTGATGTTATCGTTGACTGATGTTGAGGTCGGACTTGATGGGTCCAGCTTGACCTTGGAGGTCTTTTCCAACCTTAATGACCCTGTGATTCTAGAATTCTATTAAGCATTGCAGGATTTATGTTTGAATAATGAAATAACGAATTTCATTAGTGAAATAAATAGGGAAATAAAGACAATGGAAGATGATCTGCTCTGATAATTCTCTCCTTACCGCGCTCCTCATTTTCTGGAATTCCAGGGAGTGAACGACAGCGGGGAAATCCCCAATTTCCTTCCCAGCCAGGTAATGGCCTTTCAGCTTCTCATATATTTCCTTGTATTTGCGCTGCAAAATATCCACGAGGGAGTTTTAATGTTCATTCTAACAGAAAGATGGGGGAAAAAAAGGGAAAGGATGGAGAATTGCTGACCTCACTGTTGATATCGTTTGCGTGTTTGGCTCCAACGAGAGGCACGTACTTCTCATCCAGAGTGTATCCAATGGGCTTGCTGAGCTCCCAAGCCTTTTTATAAAGTTTCTAGACAAAGCACATACAGGTTTTGTTAAAAAAAAAAATAAAAAAAAATCAATTATACCTTCCGAGAAACACACGTGGAATGTGATTATTTTGATGGAGTGGTTCCCAAGAAAATAAATTAACGTTCATTTTGAACACTTATTCAGTGTAAGGCAAGCAGAGTAAGTGTTCCGTACCTGAGCACAAATGTGAGCTGATTTCTGCTTTCTTTATTACATTTATATCCAGAAGAGTAACAAAAATATCCAAAATGTAGATATGAACTCTTGTTTAAAAGGGCAGTATAGAACTGAGATTGATAATTTTATAGATATGTGATCAAAATTGTGAAAAATCTGTAAGTAATATTGGTGTTTATTATAGAAACATTAACTGTGTCAGTGGCACTTTTCTAATGCATCTTATTATGCTAAATATTAAATATATTTACCTTCAGATTGAATTATGAAGTTTCTACTTGTATGAATGAGTGGTCACTTATATTTTCAAAAAACAGAGGTTTCCCATTAAAATCAGTGAAACTACTCAAAAGTTAACTGTTTAATAATGTAAGTAATCTATAATTTTCCTTTCTTATAAAAAAAATAACTGTGAATTTCATCAGTAGTCAAGGTAGCGATTATTGGATGGAATTATAAATTGGTTTTGTCCCACAAACTCTACTACTACTATTCCTACTTCCAAAGACCACCCAGCTGTGCTTTAAGATCAGTTCAAAAAGGAAAGAAATTATCCTGATTCCAGTGATCCAAACCTGGAAATTAAATAACTTTCTCAGTGCCACCCAGTAGACCTCTGACAGAAACAGCAGAACAGTTTCCTGAAGTCCACTCCACATTCTGCTGCATTATAAACAAAGAAATCAGGGATGAGGTGGACATTTTTGGGATCCTACCTCACTGTGGAGTAAGGACATGTCCTTGGCGTGGTGCAGCGCAGGAGTATCGTCAGACCCGATATATTGGCCTTTCTCAAGGTTAAAGGTTTCTTTGTATTTTAGCTACAAAAAGAAAACAAACACAGTGTCAAATCCACGGGAGAAGTACATCATTCCAACTAGTCCAACTGCTGGAAGTAGACATTAATTTTCTCTTATGCATATCCTGAGAACAAGACTCAATTTTTTAACTACCATAAGCAAAACCTATGTAAAGTCTAAATCAGTCACATGCTATATCCTTCTACAGAAAAATGCTAAATTATTTTGGCTAGAATATTTTGTTGTTCATTTATATCACTTCTTACTAAATTTATTTATCCCAGTAAAGCCCATTATTAATGAAGTAGCATTTTCACACACACATATAGGGCTAAACATAGGATAATTTAGCAAAAGCAATTAAATCATCTACTAATTCTTGTATATAAGCTTCTAGTATAAGAAACAGTCCATACATCACTCTGGTTGACAGAGTTCATCTTCGCCAACACAATGTCAGGAGTGTCAACCACACTGGTGTATTTGGAAAAGTTATCCAGGGCTTCTTTGGTGTATGATCTCTGCAAAGAGATGAAATAACATCTTAAACACTGGGCATGAGAAAGTAGTGCTCACTGTGCCACTGCTGAAATATTCTCTCTTACCTTATTTATCAATTCTTGGGCATTCTTCACTTTCTTGTGCTCCACCGAATCCAGAGGGATCCAACCAATGCCACGGAGCCATTCCAAGTCGGATTTGTAAACGTTCTGAGTCATAAGGACAACAGAAAAGGAAGGAAATTATTTAATTCAGGATGAATTATGCACTATGCTAAGTGGGAATGGCCCAGTGTGTCTGTAGCATCACTCACATCGCTCTGCAGGTCGTAGGCCTGCCGTGCGTGGATGACGTCGTTCTGGTCAGGAAGACACGTCCACTGGTGCAGGTGTTGGCGATAGTCAACATCACTGACCAAGTTCTGACCTTCCTTTGCTGCCACAACTGCCATGGCATCCACAGGGATGTGGATTTTGGACTTGGTTTTGTTGTAGTCGGATTTGTACAGGCGGTCGTTCTGGATCTCGCCCGCGTGCTCGTACCACACCAGCTTGGGGTCATCCCTCATCTTGGGAACGCCAACGTAGTGACCTCTCTGCTTCACATACTCAGCTTTGTATTTCAGCTGATGGAGGAGGGGAGAAATAGGGATAAATCATTGCTGATTGTGCCCAGTCTGGTTCTAACCTGGGAACAGCTACACAAAGCAGATGAGACAGAGAGTTGTCCGACGCAGCCTTAGGTTTTCAGTACATGACCAGATAAAAATATGAGGCATACATTAATATTACTTTTTATAGGCCTCCCACTTCAAAATATAGCATTTTCTAGACTGAAATGCTACCAATTTTCAGTAACCAACTGAAATTGTCAACACAAGAGGAAATGTTTGCTAATAAGTGCATTTAGTCTCATTTTTGTAACAAATTATTTGAGACTATCTGAAGAGTGGATGTTTATTTAAGGTATTTAGATCACACTGTTTTGATAAAATGTATATTCCAAAAAAGAATCACGTAATAATTTTAATATCCATTATGCGTAAGTTGAAAATGTAAAGTGTGTACCTGCTTACAGGTTTTCAAGGAGGAAGCCTCCATAATATGCCAAAAAAGTGAAATCAGAGCCATATATTAGAATCATATTATCACTTCAATTTTTTAACATTTATAAAATATGAAAGTCCACCTCAGTTGATTTTGAAAGGACTGTTTCTGGAGAGGGTGAATGTGGAAGGGTCAATCTGACCTTCCAGCATTGATAGCACTAAAACCCATTGTCACCAAGATGGCTGATTTCTTTGGAGGACAGTAGTTCATGAAAAGTCTGGATGTTACCCCAAATTGAAAGCTTTCCAAGTCTGTTGTTGTATTCCCAAGGCCTTTAACATTTCGAGCTTTCAAGCACTTGTTTTTCTAAGGAGAAAAATCATTACCTCACTCTGGACATCGCTCGAGCGCTTGGCATGAGAGATCTGCACCGAGTCAGGAGGTAACAGGTACCCAGTGGCTTTTTCTTTCTCCCAGCTTTCCTTATATAAATTCTGTGGAAAATAAAAGTGAGGAGGAATTCAACACTACTATATTGATAACTATCACAGTGTGTATATATATATACGTATATATGTATTTCTAGGCCAGGTTGGACAGGGCTTGGAGCAACCTGGTCTATTGGAATGTGTCCCTGCCCATGGCAGGGGGTGGAACAAGATGAGCTTTAAGGTCCTTTCCAACCCAAACCATTCTATATATGTGACCTATATTAAAGTATAACAATAACAAATTCTTCCTTTGCATTGTTCTTAATAAAGCAGATTTTCTAAATACCTTCAAAGAGTTATTAATGTGAGTGGAAACCGTCAAGGAGGGATCATGTACCTGATTTAGAATCCTGGCTGCCTCCCGGGCCATATCCAGCTGTGGTGTATCTGTCAGGGTATAATTGGACTTGGCCTCATTCCAGGCTTTGTGGTATTTAATCTAGAACAGAGAAAGAAACAATTGCCTTTTAGCACCACCACAGACTTTGGAAAACACATAATTTATGCATGAAATACTGTACAAAGCCCCGAATTTGCAGGGTTATTAGACAAAACACATTAAGTACATAGTCCTAGAAGTCAAACGTAGCCCAGACCCCCGGGAGCAAACTCACATCACTGAGAATCTCCCCACTGTTCTTTGCTGTGACATAATCAACCCTGTCGGCCACCGCGGTGAAGGGAAGAGTTTCAGCCTTTGTGCGGTACTTTCTCTGTGCAAGAGGAAAGAAAGGAAAGGACAGTCAGATCCCCCTGGAATATTTCCTGGCTAACACAGCAATTCTGAATACGGACTCAAGACAAGGAGGTTTACATGGAAGGAAAACTCTCCATGCACAATGAATGTTGTGCAAATACTACAGTTGTCTTTTTCATTAAAAACAAACTGATGCATTTAACCATTCCAAATACTTTGGATGACTAATAGCCTGAAGAAAATTGTAGTATTGAAAGCCATTTTGTTACCTCACTCAAGAGATCTCCAGCATATTTGACGTGCTTGACTCCAAGGGAATCATTTGGCAGCCATCCAATGCCCCGCAGCCATTCCAAATCAGCTTTATAAACAGCCTGGGAAAAAAAAATAGGGTCCCTGCTGTTAGCTACAGCTCCAGCAAGATCCATAAATAATGGCTCTTACTTCCAGTGGCTAAAAGGAGAGCAATAATTCCAACATGAGCACTGTATCTGAATTTATCACCCTTTAAACTTGGCAAAACGTAAGTGGTATATATTTTGTACTCCTAACATAGAGCAAAGCCAATTCTCTGAGTTCAGCAGGTTCCCACTATTTATTGCTGAAGCAAAAGAAGAAGACACAACTTATTACTGCATTAAGGGATGTTTTCATGATATCTTACATCACTCTGGAGGTCGTAGGCCTGCCTGGCATGGATGACATCGTTCTGGTCTGGGAGGCAGATCCACTGGTGCAGGTACGTCCGGTAATCGGCGTCGCTGACCAGAGTCTGCCCGTGCTTGGCTGCCACGATGGACATCATGTCCACTGGGAGGTGGCACTGGGTCCTCAACTTGGCAAAGTACTTCTTGTACTCTCGTTCGCTCTGAACTTTGGCTACATCAAGGGCAAACTGGATTTTCGAGTCTCCTTTGGCGTTCGGAACTCCAACGTAATGTCCCTTCTGCTTCTCGTGCTCCAGTTTGTATTTGTACTGGGGACAGAGCACAGGTCACCATTATAACAGTTATCATAAATAGTTCCTAGAGCACGTGAAGATCCAGATGTCTCTTGGCACTTACATCACTGGCAATCTCTCTGGAAGCCTTGGCTGTCTTGATGGGGATTGCGTCCGCTCTCAAATCGTAGCTCGACTTCAACTCATCCCAAGCTCCTTTATACATTTTCTGAAGAGACAGAAAAATGCCACACATATGCTGAATGCTCTGCCATTTGCCTTTAAAGAAACACAGAGCTCCTGCCACCTGTGTGCTGAAATACCAATGAATTTTTTTGGGCATGACTCCTGCTCCCAGCCATAAATTATGCTGGAAGTTTCACTGCCTTTAAAACATGCACAGGGCCTGCAACAAGTTTTGCAACACTTAAAGTACAGAAGGGTGTTTGTAAAAGTTTAGAAAATATTTATATGCCTTAGGCTCACATCTATTTCAATAAAATATTACCTGAATGGTGCATGATAATAATAATTTTTAACCAGCTTTATGCAAGAATTTATTTTAAAATATCTAAATCCTTTAAGGACACTCAGCAGAGGGAAGGGAATGTTGCAAGCCCTGTATGAGGACAGACTTCAATGAGACTTGTGTGACTTAGTCTTCAGCTTTGGAGGCAACATCTTAGAATGACATAATTCATAGGATACACATACTATTTTAGAGAAATGTAGAGAATAGTAGAATGTAATAGAAATAATGTAGAAAGTAGAAAATGCAGAAAACAATGATAAGCATACCTGGCTATAATTAACAGCATTAGCCTTGGCTAGGTTGATTTCAGGTGTGTCTGGCATAATATGGATCATGGTCTTGTCCTTTTCCCAGGCTTCTTTGTATTTTGGCTGTTAAAACAGTTTATTTTATATTATAATGATGGAATTTCACTTGTCAACAGCATAAAATCCCACAGATCTCTGCTGAATTATCATCTCTAAAGAATAAAAAGCTTGGAAAAGCATTGAACTTAAAATGCCACTGACTGATTCTATATTTTAGCAGTGAGATTTCTCCCTTTAAGAACTTAAGGAGGTTGCTACATACGATGCTGAGCTGTTCAGCGTTTGTTTTAGCAAGGACAACGTCTGGGGAATCCACCACACTGGTGAACTTCACGCTGTCGATGGGTGTCCGGTACACGTTGTCGCTCAGGAGATCCTGGGCATTCTTCACTCTCTTAATCTCTGGAGACTCGTTGGGCAACCAGCCAATTCCACGGAGCCACTCCAGGTCTGCCTTATACACAGCCTGAATGAGACATGGAAAAGAAAAGCCTTGTGTTTAAAATTACTGTCTTCATTATTTTACATTATAGAAAGCAGTATATGTTTTACATCTAGCTAGAGATAGATCAATCCTTTTTACATACAAGAGATGTCCACTGTAATAAGTAAAATTAAATCTGGGAACCAGGTTTTAAGTAGTTCCTTTCTTAACACCTTCTAAACCTTGTGGAGTTAAATAGAGGGGAAACAAATTAAATGAATTGTTGCTAATGGTGACGACTATTAAGATTTTAAAAGACTCCTCATTTCAACAATATACAAGTCCAAACAAAAAAAACCAAGATGCCCACCAGGAAATTTGGCAAGTCAAAAAGCAAGGAACATGAATCTCACCTCAAAGCTCAGAACTGGAATAGTGGAACAGTGACTGAGGTTGACTGGTAAGCAGCAAAGCCAAGTCAGGAAACCAGCTGCACTGACACCTCCTGCTCAATCAGCCACTAAAACATTTCACCTGTACCTTACACTGTTTTTTCCAATTAAATATATTTCCAGCTGACTCAAATAAACAGGAGTAACAAAAGCCACCTGATTTCAGGCAGCAAATAGCTTTTACTCCTAAGTCCCACCAAAGCAAGAGAGACAAATCCTTCATCCTCTCCAAAGCACATGTAACGCAGCAGATACCAACTAAAGTTTTATAAAAATTAGAGGAAAAATGAAGGCTTTTTAAAGGTGAAAAAGAGCAGAATACAAAAAATTCAAGAAAACAGTTTAAAGATAAATCTGTTGTAACTGTATAATATCAAACCATCAAGATTGCAATATATTAAACATCAAGAGTAGCAACCACCACCCCTCTAGAGATACTCACGTCGCTCTGCAGGTCGTAGGCCTGCCGTGCGTGGATCACATCGTTCTGGTCAGGAAGACACGTCCACTGGTGCAGGTACTGCTTGTAGTCAATGTCACTGACCAGTGTCTGGCACTCCTTGGCTGCCTGCACTGACAGGGCATCCACGGGAATGTGGATCTGGGTCTTGGAATCGTGGTAGCCTTTCCTGTAGAGGCGGTCGCTCTGCAGCGCCATGGCCCGCGCGGCCAACGCCAGCCTGGGGTCGTCCTTGGCACTGGGGAGCCCGATGTAGTGCCCCTTCTGCTTCTCGTGGGTCTCTTTGTACTTGTACTAGAAGTGCAGAGGTAACACAAGCAGTCACTCATTGCTCACCTGGACAGACCACCAAATAAAAGGGTTTGCAGCTTCCCAAGCTCTCAAACTGAACCTCGCTCAGTTCTGCTGAGCTGGACACAGAGACAGACACCACCCCCACATTAGGGGGGTACAGAGGACTGTACCTCACTGCAAATGTCCCTGGAGGCCTTGGCTTGTTTGATGGGAATGGCATCAGCTCTTAGGTCATAGCTCTTTGCCTTGGCCTCATCCCAGGCCTTCTGATAATGTTTCTGCAAAGGAAATGAATCACCTCTGTCAAACACAACCAAGTCTCTCTGGTACAAATTCCTTCCCTCGAAACCTACTTCCCTGGGAATTACCCTGTTTGCCCCCTGTGACTGGCAGGGTTACAATAATGATCCTGTCAAGAGTCTTAAGAGAAAACTCAAGACTTAAAGCAGGTGCAAAACCTGTCAGGGTTGAGGAGTCTGCAAACTCCAAAAACTCTTCCACGGAGAGTTTGCTTTGAACTTTGGAGTTTGCTCACAAACTCACAACCTCTCAGCCTAAAGAGCCCCTGGATGTAATTTCTTGTTTACAAGCACATTAGAAAATGGTTTTTGTGCATCACCATTTACAGCAAAACCTAAACCACACAGGCCAAAAACTGGAAGAACAACTGTCATTGTTAACTTTCTAACACTGCACAAGCATTTCATTTAATTCTCTTACATTGCTGATGTTGAGAGCGTTGACTTTGGACTGCAGCATTACAGGAGTGTCAGAAGGCACAGAGATCTGTGTCTTGTCTTTATCCCAGGCCTCACGATACAGACGCTGAGCAGAAAGGAAGAAAAATGGCATTTCACCGTGGGGGTTAAAACACCAACGGGAATTTTTGGGTAATTCCAGTGACTAATTCCCAATTCTACTGCCCACCACAAAGAGAAGAAATGCCACTCCATAAGTGAAAGGGAAGTGCAAGGTGAGCTTACATCGCTGAGCTGCATGGCGTTGGTCTTGGCCAGGACAATGTCAGGGGAGTCAGTGATGCTGGTGAACTTGAGCTGCTCGGGCCGCGTGCGGTACAACCGGTCATTGAGGAGCTCCTGGGCCTTCTTGGCTTTCACCACGTCCACAGACCCTTCTGTGAGCCAGCCAATGCCTCTCAACCATTCCAGGTCGGACTTGTACACGTGCTGCAAACAAACCAAGGGTTACTGGCATTGCACAGACAACTCTTTATGCCCAGAAGGGTTCTGGATTCTCCATCCCTGGAGATGTTCAAAACCAGTGTGGATGAGGCTCTGAGTAACCTGTTCTACTGGAAGGTGTCCCTGACCTTGGGGGCTGGAATGAGATGATCTTTAAGGTCCCTTCCAACCCAAACCATTCTGGAATTCTGTGGTTCTAACTCTGTGCAGGGACTTCCCATAAAGCTTTCCCCAAATTCCTTCTCACACAGTTACACAACAAACAGCCAATGACACTATGATGTATCAGGTTTGCTTTCCACACACAGCAAACCCCCTGATTTTCACAGCAACAAAGATACTTTTAAGACACTTAATATGTGCAAACCAGGGGCATAATCTGCAAGCAAACATTCTATAGCAGCCCAAGGAAACACAGCCTCCTTATGAACCACCCAGAATATTTTTGGCCCCCAGGCTGAAAGCACTGCTGATTTGGAAAGGACAAAATAAACATAGCAGGACAGAGTGCAGGCTCATGAATGTGCATTTGAGAGGATATTTGGCCAGTCACTATCAAACAGAGCCACAAAGCTTTCCAAAGTAAGTCCCACTCACGTCGCTCTGCAGGTCGTAGGCCTGCCGTGCGTGGATCACATCGTTCTGGTCAGGAAGACACGTCCACTGGTGCAGGTACTGCTTGTAGTCAATGTCACTGACCAGTGTCTGGCACTCCTTGGCTGCCTGCACTGACAGGGCATCCACGGGAATGTGGATCTGGGTCTTGGAATCGTGGTAGCCTTTCCTGTAGAGGCGGTCGCTCTGCAGCGCCATGGCCCGCGCGGCCAACGCCAGCTTGGGGTCGTCCTTGGCACTGGGGAGCCCGATGTAGTGCCCCTTCTCCTTCTCATGGGTTTGTTTGTATTTGTACTAAGAAACACAAAAAGAAGTATTAGCAGAAGCTGGGGTGAATTTCCCATAATTTCATATTGCTGCTGATCACAAAGAAACATATTCCTGTTTTCCAGGTAACTGAAAATGCATGAGGAAGAACGTACGTCACTCGCGATATCTCTCGATGCCTTGGCACTTTGGATTGGAATTGCATCCGCTCTCATGTCATAACCCTTCTTCTTGGCCTCTTCCCAGGCTTGTACATAAAGTTTCTACACAAGAGAAGACAGAAAATGGCTTACTGATATTTAACAAGGGGTTTCTACATTTCATACTTTTTTCTCAAAATTTTCATCAATGTGTAATTCTTTATAGTTAAAGAAATGCTTCCTTAATTCTGAATTTCCCTTAGCTTAGTAAATGTGTAAATGTTCTTACCTTGCTGACATTGGCTGCATTGGCCCTGGCTAACAGAATATCTGGTGTGTCAGGCATGACATGGATGGTTTTTTTGTCTGCATCCCAGGCTTCTGTGTACAAACGCTACAAGAGAGGAAAACAGTCCTTTAGAAACATTCCTTTATGTGTGTCATGATGGAAACACCACAGATTTGAAACCAGCAGTGATAAAAAATATATCCATGATAGAAAAGTAACCTTGAAGGAGAACTATATACAGATATATAACCAAACTAATACATTTGTCCAAATAAATTATTTTACAGATGGCTATGGGTAGTTCAAGCAATAAAATACCCTGATTCAGCAAAGGTTCTGACTGAACAGCTCAAGAAGGAAACTTTGTCCTTATTTCTCAAGCTAAGTTGGTGCAGCAATTGGTTGATTTTGAATTGCTGAGAAACTGCTGTATGAGGAAAACTGTATTCATTATTCTGCTGTATCTATATAAGTTGTTTGATTCTGTTCCTTAAAAAGGAGTAGGAGGAGGTACTTAGTGATTTTATCCTCCAGCTCTGAGATACATTCCAGAAACTTCACTTCCAGAGAACTTCAGCTGTTTCCTCATAACTTGTTCATCATTCAGCAGTACTGTTAAAAAAAATGTGATTTAGGTGACTTTTTTCTGTACATTTTTACCAAGTGCTCAGTTCAGACAGAGAGCCCTAAAATAAGAGCTTTCCTGTTCAGTGGCTGAATTTGGACATTCATTTTAAGTCCACAGCAAAAGTCTTCAGTCTGACTTTGTATGTTGTATTTTTCACCTCATCAACAAGTTCTATCAGCTGGTAATACTGGTGATTTAGACAAAAAAAAACAACAGCTCACCTTGTTCATTATCTCAGCATTTTGCTTGGCTAAGACCATGGGCAAGGAGTCTGTCACACTGGTAAATTTGATTTTGTCTGCAGGTTGACGGTACTTCCTGTCACTCAGGATTTCTCCAGCTCTCTTGGCTTTCTCCACTTCCAAGGAACCAATAGGAACCCATCCAATACCTCGTAGCCATTCCAGGTCTGATTTGTAAACAGCCTGAAAAGATTTGAAAGCCCGTTCTCTAGGTGCAAGTGTGATTCAGAATTAAAATAACTATAAATAAGCACACCTTAGTCAATATGAACAACTGTGTGTGTTTCTGGTGGCAGGATATGGTTTTGAAAACACTTGTTATTTTTGAAGATGAAGCAAAATAACAAAAAGAATGGAGTTATTGGAGCACGCCACAAATACCAGAGTTATACACAAATTACACCTCAGGTTAAGGACTGAGGAATACAATTAATCATAAATTTGATGAAACAAAATTACACCTCAGGTTAAGAACAAAGGAAATGAAATTAAACAAATTTGATGATGTAATGAACATTTCACCTCCACCAACAAATCTGACGAAGCGACTAAGGCATATAATGTACACTTGAAAAATTAAGAGTGTAGAAGACCCTGTATCTTCAATAATGATTACAAATGTAAGGATTTGCTCACATCACTCTGCAGGTCATAGGCTTGCCGAGCGTGGATCACGTCGTTCTGGTCGGGCAGGCAGATCCACTGGTGCAGGTAGTGCCGGTAGTCGATGTCGCTCACCAACACTTGGCACTTCTTGGCCAACACCACTCCCAGCATGTCCACGGGGCTGCTGAAGTGTGTCTTGGTCTTCTCAAAGTCCTTCTTGTACTCCCTGTCACTCTGGATCTTGGCCACGTGCATCGACCACATCATCTTGGGGTCGTCCTCGATGTTGCGGGCCCCGATGTGGTGGCCCAGCTGCTTCCGATACCCTTCCTTGTACTTGTACTGAAATACAGAACAAAAACACAAGGCATTTAAATACCAATCTTGATAGAAAAAGAAGGAGCCTCATCCTCTATCAAAACCTGTCCTAGTCATTGCATATATTTTTTTCCTGGTTCGGTACTGAGACATTTTGAATGTCAGTATGACACTTTTACAGAATATATTTTTCCACTGGAAAAAACCAAGCATTTGAACTTCTAGAATTGATTTGCTAATATGTCTCTTTTGGGGAGAGATTTTAAAGTATTTGCTATTCTGAATCAGAAATTACCTTGACTAACTCTAGCACAGATATCTTTTTGATCATCCTACTTAAACATCCATGGACATAAATGGAACTATTACAGGGGACATATAAATAATCCTCACATTATCCTATTTATTTATTACAGTGATATAAACCTCATGCATAAAATACTGGCTACCCATTCCTTTTTATGCACTGAAGGCATGTGGTAGAATCACAATGAAGATAGACTTCAATATTAGTTATTCTATGAAATATGACATTAACAGACAACAGAACAAACATTCTGATCCTTTTCCATTCCCAAATCCATCTGGAAATAATAAAACCTGCTTACATCACTGGCAATCTCTCTGGAGGCTTTGGCAGATTGAATGGGAATGGCATCAAAACGCAGATCATAGCCCTTCTTCTTTGATTCCTCCAAGGCCAGTTTGTACATTTTCTGTGAGAAAAAAACCCCACATTTTAGTTCCTAAGGCAAAATTATGCTTCAGTTAAGCACAACTCTGTAATAGAAAAAATGAAGTCCCTAAACAATGCTGTTAATCTTCAAGCCACTTCGATATTGTTCTCTAGAAAATAAAAAAAAAAATGCAGATTTCAAAGACCTTGTAATTATATTAAAGACCCTTGGAAAATGGAAAGCATGTAGGGACGGTAAAGAAAGGAACATTTTAAAAGTTAAATTATTTATTTCACAACTCGCTATATAAATGATTTTGCATTTATGGTAGCAAATATCTTTTAAAAGGCCAATTAGATACCTAGGAGATAAACTCCAGTGAAAGAAGAAATCTGATTTCAGCACTGGAACTGGCAATTTCTGACACTGAACAACTTGCCAATATTATTCTACTATCGACTGAAAGCCAGAGATGACAAGATTGTACTTGCCAGAAACCCTTTAATTGTCTCCCCTCTCCAACTTCACTCACCTCACTGTAGTTCACTCGGTTTTGTTTGGCCAGCAGGATTTCTGGGGTGTCAGGCATGACATGAATCGAGGTCTTGTCTTTATCCCAGGCTTCAGTGTATAAACGCTGAGGAAGAAAACAGGAAGAGATTAATATTGCTTTCTAAACGGGGTAATATCTCAGAAATCAAGGAAAAACACAGAGCATATTAATTAAAATTACAGGAACTTTTCTAGTGTAAGGTATCCCTGCCCATGGCAGGAGGTTGGAACGAAATGATCTTTAAGGTCTGTTCTAACCAAACCATTCTGTGATACTCTGAAATATAGCAGGGATACAGAGTTCTGTGTTTAGTCAGGTGGAGACAACATTAACAAAAGGAGAATTTATCTGAGGGAATTCAACACTTGGGAAACTGGAATCAGGACTCACCTTGTTCATGGTGTCCGCGTTCTGCTTGGCCAACACC